TTGTTGCTTTTCTGCTCCGTGTAACTCCGTGTGTGCATGCATGCACGAGGGATGATTAAGAAGGCCATTTGCAGGAAACAGCTTGAGCTCGGTTCGAAAGATGGGGCTCCTGCTTCTAATGGGATCAGTGTTGCAGCGCTTTCTGTCGGTGTAACTCATGATGTGGCTAATGTTTTAAACATGCTCTGCTGATGTAGCGTGACCCTCTTAAATAAATGACTGCATCACCAGAAGAGGGAGTCGTCTCCTATTGGCTTTACTGTAGGCAGAGATGCTGTGCTCTTCCTGTGAGTTATGCTGGCCGACAGGCAAGAAGGCGCATATAACAGTACAGTACTGGACATACAGTACGCACCCATGAATGCACAAGTACACACACACATCTACGCTAATAATGAAACCAGATGAATGTAAATGACAGAAAAGGCGGTGATGATCGGCCGGTCCTTTCACACAGATATTCAGAGCTCATGTAAATGACACATTGTATTATTGTATTGCAGAATAAGCACATCACCCTCAGTTTATTATCCCATTATTATTGACTAATACCTCATGCTTTTTACTGCCACACCAGCAGCATCTTCCTGCTCTGTTAGTTAACAAGGCTAGCCAGCAGCAGGAGAATCTGTGCCGGGCTCGTCATCTGCAGTGCTGCTCTGCAGTGTTGAAGCTTCTCACAAAGAAAACGTTCCCTTCCCGCAAAAACCTGAAGTCTATATTCGGTACAATGCAGTGAAAAAGCTATAAAACTATTCAGATATTTCCTCTATTCCTCTTCTTGTGTGCTTATTTAAATCACACAGATGATGTGTATGTAGTGTGGCGTGTGTAGTGCATCAAGGGACAGGGTCAACTGAAGTGCAGCTGTCGCTGAAAAACCTTTTTTACACTGCATGCTGAAGTGTAAATCTTTTGAGAATTATTAGATCTGGGGGGAAGTAAATGCAACATCAGTTGGTACACTTTACCTAAATAATTGATGTATTTCTTTGCAAGATTAGCACCTATTGCAAACACATGTCTGTATAAGAAATTGTTTCATTATTTTCTGGTCTTATTTATTGGAAATTAAGTCAACTGTGATCCTATTTGGAGGAAAATTTGATTAGCACCAGGGTAAAATGCAGCAAATTTGTTTATTAGGAACCTGGCTGGAGGTCATTTTTGAGGTGCCATTTCAAACAATAAAACAGTGCACAGTAGTGCTGCAGCTGGATCATAAATATAACTTTTTAGTAGAAGTAGTTTTGTTTTATGTGCGGTTTATGACTCCAGTTTTCACACACATTTCTTATCAAAATAAGTGAAGCCTTGGCACAGACTTGACCAGGTGTACAGTATTATTTCTGGTTATTATGGCTAAATACATGTTTGCTTTATTGTAACATACGTTATTACAAAAGTGTGTGTCCCGATTTGAGGCGGGTGCTTGTGATTCAGTGTGAATTTGTAATCTAATCCTGCTGCAGGGTTTAAAGTCCCAGCTCTGGCTGATTTCCCTTTGGGCAAACAGAACCATTTCACTGCGGCCAGTAGAGTGTGACACAGTTTAAGTGCATGGCTGGTGACGGATAGAGTCTTGTGACAAGCTGTGAGGCAGGAAGAGGAAGTCAGTGAATTGGCTCGGACTCGGCTCCAGCTGAATATGAAGTGACCTGAAGGACCCTCCACACTGGGACACCGCTGCACCTTGACAAATTCTGATAAACTCATTTCCTGGAAGAATTTACTGAGAATTGAACATTCACTTCAGTATTTTGCAGAAAGTGCTATTTCATTAAATATGATTCATTTTATAGAATCTACATTTTATTTGGATTTTGTGTTTGTTGCCATTTGCAGGACAGATAGCAGATAGATATGTTAGATTGTTTGTGCAATTCCTAAATTGAGCTTCACAAAGAAATTAAATATTCATTTTAAAATACTAAAAGCAGAAAAGCCAAACAAAGGAAACTATAAGCATTTAAAATAAATTAATGAATTAAACAACATAAAAAAGTGCATTTCATAATATTGTGTATTTACCCTATTGTTACCAAAGAGTAAAAATAATGTATCCAAACAAAAAGTTTTTTTCCTTCAAATCTTTATTTATAGTAATATTATTATAGCATTTCTTCAGTGGATGTTTTCAATGATGAAACTCTTTATCTAAGGCTCCCTGTCCCTTCAGGAAAAAAAGGGAATCATTTTTAAATAAAGGGAGATTTTTTTGAGTATTATCAAATAGATTGCATGTATGCAAATATTTTCTGAACTGAGAAAATATGGCGTGATGGTGTCTGTGCTGCAGCAGACCAGTGTGACACCTGTGACCATGGTAATTGCTGACATCTGTGAGCTCAAAATACACTGAAGACATGCAGAGTTTAAAAAAAGAAAGAAAAATCTGCGTAAATGTCAGTGTATAAACCTTGGCTTTGTTGATCTGAGCTGGTGAATATCAAAAGATACAATTGAGACCATCATTTCCTGCCGAGGCTCCGGCGTTATATCACTGAACTCTCCAAACAAAAGCCCATTTTCCAGTTTCCCGGCTCTTCATCTCCCGTGTTGGTGGTAACTGGGAACTCAGGCATGCCTCCGCCAGTTCCCACAATGCACCAACACAAATTACATTTCCCTCACATGGCTGGGGCCCCCTTTCTCTATTCTCTACTCAGTCTTTTCACTGTTTTTAAACTACCTCCCTTCCTTTCCTCTTGTCCATCCTTCTTCTGAGATTTTTTCCCAGCATAGCTGCTGATATGTTGCTGTTTCTCCGGTTTACTCACAGCCTCAGTGCCTGCAGCTCCCTCCTGGTTTAGCCGTTCTCTCAGTGCTTACAAGCAGCTGAGTTGTTACGCTAATAGCGTAGGTGGCATCCAAAAGGAATTCAAATTGTGCTGACATTAAAAGTGTGCACCTCACCCTCACCTTGTCTGCCACAAGGCTGCCTCCACAGGTTACTGTTAGTGTTGTCTGTGTAAGCAAATTAAACGTGGCTTTTTCTGCTATGATTGAAGCAGCCCGTGACATTCGGGATGATAAGTGGACAGTGATGGATTCCTAGGAGTTTGCACTTTGTATCTAAATGATTGGTGGTCAAGCCCAGGACCCATCCATTCATCTTCACAGAGCTGTCCTGTCAGGGGTCCGAGAGGAGCTGGACATACTACGAACAGTAGCAGTGTAGACCTTGGACGATTGGCCAATCCATCAACAGTGTACTTGGACAAATTGCCATTGACACTCTCGACTACGGTTGGGTGAAATTGACCAATTAATCTAATCTGCACTCTGTGTGTCTTTAAACTAAGAAAGGGATTTGCATTGTCCCCGGAGAATTCGTTCATCCCCGAAATACACTGCCCAAGGGTTAAAACCTAATGAGCTTTAAACCAGTAATGTTCTTTTACAAAACTACAAAATCCACTTCTTCACTAAGTACTCACATGTTCACGTCAAAGATGTGTAGTAACAGGGAGGGTGTGTTGCCTCGGAAAAGTTCAACCTGATAATAACGGGTGCCGCTGAGCTGATTGGCTAATGGAAGGGACATGTAGAGGACATTTATCCGCTGACACAAGACACAATGCTTTTTGTTTGATTGGTTAAATTGGAGGGAGCTCATTTGCTTTCACAGCAAAACCCTTTTACAGGGTTTTTTTTTTTTTGTTAATTAAGTCAGAGGCTCCAACACACTGGGCTGCGAAGGAGAGGAAAGAGATCATTGTTATTCCTCTGCTGCACCTCTGAGGCATTGTCGTTTGTTTTTTATTTGGATTGCACCACAGATGAGCTCCGTAAATGTATATTTGCTAAAATGAGTTTACTTTAGTGTGCCTCAGAAGAATACTTCGCCTGAATACACTTTTTTTTTCTGAGTTCCTCTGTTTGTGGACTGCTCTGTGGCTCTCTGGGTGGGGATTCTTTGTTTTTTGTGTTGACTTGAAGGAGGAACATTTGTTATTTTTAGCTACTTGAATCCAGTGACAATTAAAGGGGTTGTTTTTATGATATGCAATGAAGATTGCTTTATCAAAATTCCACAGTTCAGCTGAATTTGTATTGAATGTTTAATAATCCAGTGGTGCGCCTGTCGCACAAATCTTGAAAAACTTCATTTCAAACTTATTGAACTTTTTTTATGACTCAAAATCAATAACATCAATTAACAAAAAGTTCAAAAAGAGAAAATAAAAGTGCACGTGTGCCATCACTATTTTAATCCTGTCACATCCCACCTGTCATGTCTTTGTCCCACCAGTAGGGTAATTACTAAAATCCATGAAATATAGTTTTCCCTATATTAATAATCAATTCAATTTTGACTAATCATTTGGATTAGTCAAACATTTAAAAAAAAAAACAGTGACCAAAATATTAATTTTATTTTGGTCACTGTTTGACATTTTAATTTATCTGGATTTGTCATGATTAATCGTGCTTAATTATGACACCTATTATTAATCAGGATTAATTTACAGCTATGTTGTGATTAATTAGATTCAAACATTGAAGGGTTTGGCAGCTGTAGCGTTAACACATGAACAGAGCAGGATTTTCCTTCACCTAGTTAAACCTCTGTCTGTTTAAGCACCACTGTAATTCAGTGATGTTTAAAACTGCTCTAATATGAATCGTGACACATCACATCACCGTCCTGCGCTGCAGACAGTTGACCTCCCATTAATCACACAAATTAGTGTTAGGTGAAGTGTAAACTCTGAAGCCCTGACAGGTTTTGTTCCAGTTCAAAGAGTGCAGAGAATGGTGGTAGCTGTCAGGCAGAAATACTTTGACACACCACAGTACTGTATCCAACTTCCTGGGGAAAAACACGGGTTGTGTGTTTCCACTGGTCTGTTTTGTGTCATTTGCTTCTCCACTGATGGAGTTTTCGTATAAATCTCTTTGTTCAGATGCAGTTTTTTTGCCAAATGTCACATTGCGTTGTGAAGACGGATGAGTCGGACGTGTCCTTGACGTGTTGTTGTTCTGTCATTGTACAGGAGGCCAAGCTGCGTGAGCTGCTGGATGTCAGCACCCTGGTGGGAAAGATGGAGAACAGGATGCTGACGGTGGTGAGCGGCACGGACATGGTCAACATCACCTACCTGAACTTCATGGCTTTTCAGGAGGAGACGGCGAAGGTGAAACAAGGGCACAAATCAAAATGATCTGAGGCAAAAGCTGTTTCATATCTGCAGTTTAGGTCCAGACATATGGACATGTTTGTGGATGTGTTTCAGGTCACAACCAAGCTACTCTAAATATTAAAATCCGATATAACAAGCCTTAAAACCTGTTGATTTTTTTTGACAGAATTTTCAATTTTGCTTTACAAAAATGGATCCCTCCTCTGATGCCAACAGACTTCACAATTTGCTCCCGTATGGCAGCAGACACTTTCCAGCCCTCAGTTATTACCAGCAATGGATTGGATTGCATTCAGACACTGTGGATTAATGTGTGTGTGCATGTGTGTATTGTCTCTTCTGTTTACTGCAGGAATGGGCAGAAGAGCTGTTTAACCTGGCATCAAACCTCTTGGTACAGAACATGTCCAGAGAGGCCTGCCTTGAGAAAGCGTATGTTATCTGCACAAACACACGCACACACACACACACACACTGCAGCACGCACACACACACACCTCCTGCAGTATTTCTGGTAAAAATACATCACTTACTTCCAAAAGCCTTATTAAGACCAGGCTTTGGTTCCTGGTGTGGCCCAATGAGGTGTTAGAAATATACATAAACAATACATAAACAATACATACATATATATATATATATTTAATATTCATTATAGTTTCCATAAATACAAATAAAAATGCACTGCCTGGCAGTAAGAGTAGATGTGTGGAACCAGACTCTGACAGTACATCCTGCACAGCAGAGATTGCACAGGGTATTCTATTAAACATTATAACCTCTGTAGCATACACTACACTCCTACAGCATAATCTTAGTAAACCAGCACTGGACAAGTTGCTTTTCACACCTGGCAGCCTGAGGGTATGTCTTTATAAAGGTTATTTCAGCTCACATCAACAGAGAGAGGGAGAGAGCGTGGAAACGGGCTGAGAGCCAGGAAGGAAACTAAATAAATAAAACAGCTGGGAATATGAATTAGTCCCAACACCTGGCTTATCTGCTGCACTGATATACTGCAAGAATGTACGGCCACGTTGTGCTGCGGGTGCTGCTGGTGCAGCCGCATTTTGTTGCCTCCAGTCGTATTATTGTATGTAAATTAGCGATTACTCCCATGGATGGCTCTTTGGCCGGTAACAGCTCCTCTAAGTGGAGCGAACATGCTTTTCCCTGAACTACTTCTAGAGATTTATGTGAGCAGCAGTGATTGAGTCGACTGCCAGAGAGTGACCATAAATATGAGTTCTGTATTTCCGCCTTATTTTGAAAGCTCATGCTGTGGTCTATTTGGTTAAAAGTCGCATCTGTCTGGTGTTTGTCAGTGAACAGAAGCCATTAACTCACAACCCTCAGCAAGCTAATTGACTTAGGAGACGATAGAGTGCCACAAGAGTAGAATAGAGAAGCTTTTCCATTCGAGCTGTTTGCTCACAGCAGCAGCTGCTCTACACCACGAGTACAGCTCCTCTTCCCCGAGGTGGAGATGACGTCCCTGCAACATGTTGTTAAAGCTCATCACCGTGATGTTTCGGTAGGAGCGCTGTATTTGGACAGAGCTCCCCAAAACACGCACACTTTTCAGATTATTCTGTGTTCAGAAGTTAGAGAAGCAAGATTACAGTGGTTTGGACGAAGAAGAAGAAGGATGTTTAGACTGGAATTTTCAGAGCATCTGCTGCACTCTCTTAAGAATTCAGTTTATAATGAGAAACCAAACTGTGTGGTTTCATAATAACCGTGAACCTTTTAGTCCAAAAAACCCCAACAATTTTAAATTGTAACCAAGTCTCTTTCTTTCATTTGTGTTATATTTTTATTACTAATTCTTTTCACATTTTCTTAACTTATTTTTACTGTAACCTGATATCTAGTCCCTTTGCAGTGTATATTTGACGTTTCACCAGAATTACTTCATTTTGAATTTTTTTTTAAATAAAAACTTTTTTGAAATTGAAATGGAGTTAACTAATCTATAAGGCATGGACGCGTCAGTCCGACGAGGACATCGATCAACAAACACCATAGTTTCCAGTTTCATTGTGCCTACTCTGATTTTGTCTTCCTCCCCTCTCCACCATCTGCACTCCTCTCTGCTTTCCTTTCTGTCAAACTCACCCACACTCAGCTTTACTCACATCAGCAGTTCGCTGCCTAACAATTTTCTTTTTCAAACATAATGCAGTCTGGCCCTGTTAACCATTACAGTTGTGAGCAACTTTCCCTATGGCCTATAAAGTGGACACTGTAATGGATATTAATTATTAGCCAACATCCACTTCAAGCCTCGCCTCTAATAATGGCTCCTGTTGCAGTGGAGCTATTTATAGCTCAGCCTGCACCAGCTGTGTTGCTGCTGCTGCTGCTGCTGCTGCCGCTGCTGCTGCAAGGCTCCGGGCCACTAATGCAAAACCTCCGATGGGT